CGCCTCGTCCTCCTTACTAATTTGGCGCCAATTTCCAAGCAACCTCCCAAGCAAAAACTAACCGAACCATATATACACCGCTTCTATATACATACACTTGTACCATGCACTTCACTTCGTGGGCTCTGATTAAATGTTACTCTCCGTCGCTTGCTCCTTTTTCTTTCTTCTCATCCTTCCCCTCTTCCTCTTTGTCGTCGTTGTCCTCTTCTTCTTCTTCTTCTTCTTCTTCTTCTTCTTCGTCGTCCTTGTCTGAACTCTTCGTTCGTCCGTTCTCTTTCCTTCTCTCATTTTCTCTTGCGCGCCCGTTTTTTTCTTCCCTTTCCTACTGCGCGGATCCTTTCGTCGCACTCTCCTTCGCGCCGTTTCTCTCCGTTTCGACCCCAAGTTCCCACACTCCGCATCCGGACGCGTACCGGCGACCATTGCATCCCCGGCTCCGTGAAATGCCGATGGCCATCGCACGCACGCGTGCTGCTGCGTGCATCGCCTCGGACCCTTTGCCGACGAGAACATCACTCTGCTCTTCCCTTTCTCACCTCTTTCCCCTTTGGGTTCAAATGTGAGAAATTTTCATTTCAACGACCAACGTGCATACAACTGTTGCACGACGTGGAAGAGTGTAAACACTAGCGTGAAGAAAGTACGACGCTTTCATAAAAGTTACGAACCTACATTACGTAAACATATTAAAAATCATATTATTACTATTAACGAAGGTATAAAATTAATTATTCCTTTATTAATAAAAATTAATCGTGCGTCGAACCAAAAGACGACGTTTTCCCGAGAAACCACCAATTCTTCTCATTTTTTCTTTCTTTCTTCGTAGAATGATGAAAGAATTCAATTTCATTTAAAACAGTTACAAATAGAAACCTGTGAAATGCACATTGCATTTGTTGAAAAAATAAATAAATAAATAAATTCATCGATATGTACGTCCACTTTAAACACTTCATCTTTCTTTTTTTTAAACTTTTTTGTCTTTTAACTAAATAAAAGAGACGGGTTGCCATAATTGCGCGAATTACGCCGTTATAACTAATCACGAAAGTATGGATTGGATTCGGTTTTAGTTATTTAATTTCCGACCGATTTAGTCTTTTGTACTTCTTGAAAGAAATCTTCGCGACAGTTAGACAGCGAGAGGGTTGCAAAGAGAGAAAATTGATAAAGGGGGAACTGTAATCTGGAATCGAGTTAACTAAGAACAAACTAACCATCGCAAATCTATTCTCGACCTCGCGGTTTATCATTCCGCGTGATCTCCGGGTTGAATCATTGATTGAACCGGTAATCATCGCTCGACAGCCGTAATTAACGCTCGAGCCCGTGCTCATTGTCTAACAAGCAATGCAGATGAAACTATTTTTGTTTCGAGCCAACAGATAGCGAACTAACAACTCGACTATCGTTTTATTCAGTTTTCAACGCGCTGAAGACAAATTTGCAATTTTTTCCAATTAATTTGTAGATCAATAATAATGGATATTCTTTTGTTACTGTATCTTCTGCTTAGATTTTATAATTTCAAGAAAATTTAGACTAAATTATACAACAAACATATATAGCGCTATATTTGCATTTGTTGCAAATATTTATCTTTTATTTAGTTTTCAACGCACTGAAGACAAATTTGCAATATTTTCCAATTAATTTATAGATCAATAATAATGGATATTCTTTTTTTATCGTATTTTCTACTTATATGTTATAATTTCAAGAAAATTTAGACTAAATTATACAGCAAACATATATAGCGCTATATTTGCATTTGTTGCAAATATTTATCTTTTATTCAGTTTTCAACGCACTGAAGACAAATTTGCAATATTTTCCAATTAATTTATAGATCAATAATAATGGATATTCTTTTTGTATTGTATTTTCTACTTATATGTTATAATTTCAAGAAAATTTAGACTAAATTATACAGCAAACATATATAGCGCTATATTTGCATTTGTTGCAAATATTTATCTTTTATTCAGTTTTCAACGCACTGAAGACAAATTTGCAATATTTTCCAATTAATTTATAGATCAATAATAATGGATATTCTTTTTGTATTGTATTTTCTACTTATATGTTATAATTTCAAGAAAATTTAGACTAAATTATACAGCAAACATATATAGCGCTATATTTGCATTTGTTGCAAATATATATCTTTTATTCAGTTTTCAACGCGCTAGAAGACAAATTTGCAATATTTTCCAATTAATTTGTAGATCAATAATTTGTTACTGTATCTTCTACTTAGTTCTTATAATTTCAAGAAAATTTAGACTTAGCGTTATATTACATTATATAGAATAATTCATCTCGTGGAAAATTTACAAGAGAAGATTCCCACAGAAGTGTATTAAATGAGGCAAAAAAAAAAAAAAAAAAAAAAAAAAAACAACTTAAATATACACGTCTCATTTTGTAATAATTTCCACTTATCTGTCTTTTCATTTGCATTTGTAACAAATTTTTGAAATTGTAAATAGACTTATGGACATCCTGTATATCCGTAGCATCGAATAATTCTAACTGAACAAGGACGTCGAATTTCAATTGGTTCCAGGAAAACGTAGGAGAAGGAAGGAAGGTTCCTCGATGGTGAAAGAGGTGAAAGAGGACGGAGGGTGGTTCCCACGGGAGTCGCGCGAACCGCGGACGAAGCAAACACTCGCGTGGACGTCGATAGCATCGCGTCGGGTTATGCAAATACGAGTCACAGCGGGCGTCAATTTAATGGCGAGGCCGCAGGTTCGGACCACGCATCTCCGTGGCAATGGATCCACCAAAGTAGAGGAGAGCAAGGGGAATACACCATACACTGCGCGCCGTTCGATCTTTGGCCAGTGATGGACGTCCGATTTTCATCCTCTCCTCGAGCTTTTCGAGCAATTTGTTAGCCTGCAAATTGCTTAATCTTTCATCTAGGAAATTTTGAGTTTTGACCAACCTGAGACCATTCTTACCAATGCAAGAATTTATCACAAAATTAATTTTTGTAGTAGATGGAAAATGCGTTTTTCCTGTACTTTTTTTTAATAAAATGCAGTTCAGGTGGATTAAAAATCATGGAGTATGCGTGCAATTTAATATTTATGCTCTGCGATTCCACTTTCCTATTACGCCGAACGATTGAAAATGATAAGTAGATTCAAGAAACGATTGTAAAATTCAAATTTAATATTTAATGTCAGTTCAATAAATTCCAAAATCGTCTCTTAATTTTATTTATTTGGTCATGCAGATTAAATAGATAGGTATGTATTTTATTTAACTGCTTGACATATTCTTTTCGTGTACATCCTTTACGATACATTGTTAAAATTATAACAACAGCCTTGTAACCCTTGATATTTATATAAACGATTTTTGTAAATGATTTTCTATTAATTTTCTTATATTTATTAAATGTAAAACAAATTTTTGCTCCTTATTCAATAATATATTGATGAATAAAATTAAACGGAAGGAAATTGTATATTATTCTTAAAGCGAAATTAATTAATCTAATTAAAAGAAATTTAAATATTAATTTATTCAATAACATAATCTCTTTCACACTTTCCCTAATACTTTTCTCTCGCATTGTCCCTGTATTTATTCCTCGTGATAATAAAACTTATTATTTAATCTTTACATTTAACTTAACTTACGTATGAAATTTATGCCCAAGTTCTTCGCACGCGAGCGTCAGAATGAGAAAGTAAATTGATGATCAATGAGTCAAAACAACGAACATTCAAATATCTATGAAAATGTGAGAACTTGGAAAGGTGAAATTTTGCAAGTCGATCGATTGGAAACGAAAGCGTGTTGCGTCCATCATCGATGCCTGAAGTGAGTTGGTTTGGTAGACAGTCAGGGGATCAGGTCATCGAACAGAGGGAGGAAAAAGGGGGAGAAAGAGGCTGGCAGGTATTCACGGGCAGTATATCACGTGGCAAGGATAAGTTTTTGATCGGCCCTCGGTATACGGATGACTCCCTGCTGCTTGACCTCATCACGCCACGCTATGGGGGTCTTTATAAACCACCATCGACTGCGCGTATCCTAATCACCTTTTGTCTTAAACCTGCCAAACTCTTCTTCCGAGGCCGGCTCCGTTGGCTTCTGGCGAAGAATCTGCGCCACCTATTTGCTCTTTCGTCGCCGTTTTTCTCTCCACTTTCTCCGTATTTTAGCTATCTTTCTCTTTCTCTTTTTTTTTTTACCGAGTTGCAAGAAATTTCCACAGGCGTGTGAATAAATTTCTATCAACAGAAGAATAGCACTTAACGCACAGCTTAAGCTGCAAATCTATTTATATGACACATATATATATATATATATATATATATATATATATATATATTTATAAATATAAATATTAAATATATATATATATTCATATGACATATATATATATTTATAAATATAAATATTATAAATATAATTATTAAATATATATTTATATGACACATATATATATTTATAAATATAGATATTATAAATATAATTATTAAATATATATATTTATAAATATAGATATTATAAATATAATTATTAAATATATATATTTATAAATATAGATATTATAAATATAATTATTAAATATATATATTTATAAATATAGATATTATAAATATAATTATTAAATATATATATTTATAAATATAGATATTATAAATATAATTATTAAATATATATATATATATATATAAATACGCTGCAACAAAGAGACTTTATTTACTTAATTTTCATAAAATGCCGAACAATATAAATACAATATGATTTTGTTCTAAAAGTCTATGTATACTCGATACTTTAATACTCGTCAAAAATAGGTTCTCTTTTCGACTCGCGGAGACGAATTCCTCGTTGTGAATCGACCTTAAACCGAACCTGGCGTCCTACCTCGTCCAATTGTTTCAACTGTTTCCGAAAAATCAGCGTTTACCAAATTCACGACGGTAGACAGATTTTTTACGGTTATCCGACTTTTAAGTTAGAAGATGAATCATGACAACTGGAGACCCGCCTGGACACGGTGCAGCAAGTTGGAAGATATCGTCTGGATAACGAAGGACGTTCTAGCTTGGTGTTCCGGTGTCTTCATCGTGTTCTTCGGCATCGATCACGGTGACTATCGATTTCATTGGTGCTGGAACCACCACACCGGAGATGGTGCCCGATGTCTCTCCGCTCACAAGTCGCTCGCCGTGTTCGCCTTCGCGGAGAAGGTCATTCAACCGAGGATCCTCGTTTTCTCTTACCCGACGATGACGAAAATCGCCGAGTGCGCCGGCGGATGCGCTTCCGGATACTTGGCCACCGCGTTTACACCGGGTGATCACTTGGTCTCCGTCGGGTCGTATCCCATGTTCGTGATGACCGTCTGGAATTGGAGGACCGGCGAGAAGATAATCAGCGTGAATACTTTTATACGCGACGAGGTTGGACAGATATTAAGGATCACTCGCGTCGGGCCCACTGTCGTCGGCCAGCTCGGGAAGACCTGCGGACGATTGTACACGTGGGAATTGGACGTCGTTGGGAAAGTTGCCATTGTGAAAGGTAACGCTTCTTCTTTGTTGAATTATTGCTTGAATTATTGTTTCGTCCTTTCGATATGGAAGCGGAGAGAGCGCAACATTTGGCAAAGCTACGAATTCGTAGTGAAATTGAATAAATTAACACGTATTTGTATAGTTTGTATAGATGGTCACACTAGTGAATCAATTTTCTAAACGAACGAGGAATATAGATGTTATTCCATCTTTGATGATGCGTTCTATTTGCTAATGCTACTTTCCTTTAGAATATCATATAATTCGTTTCTCTTTTCAAATAAGAGAATTCTACAGTAGGTACAAAGTTTGCAAGTAAATATCATCTTTGATCCACAATGATCTGAATTTGAGTAAATTTAAATTGAGTGGAGATTTTAATTTGAATAAAGCTTCACATCAATTTATATTTCTTGTTGTGTAAATAAATGGAGGATACGAAGTTTGAAATAAACGCTAACGATCTCTAATATGTACCAAAATATTTTACATATATAAATCATCACAATTTGAATGGTAATAATTAAAAAAGTAGACAGACCTGAAGAATTAATAATTATAATTTTTAATATTTTATTATATCATTTCATTATATTAAATATTATTAAAATATAAAATATAAAATATTAAAATTAAAAAAATATTAAAATAAAAATAAATAAAATATTAAATAATTTAATATTTAAATAATATTTAAATAATTTAATATTTTACTTATTTTTATTTTAATATTTTATATTTTATATTTTAATAATATTTAATATAATGAAACGATATGATAAAATATTCATAATATTTTAATATTTCAAGATTGTTTGAATTTTTATAATTTTCTTTTCTATTATACAAATTTGAAAATATCTTATAACTCTGTTCAAGTAAAGTCTTTACCAAGTATTCTTTCTTACAAAGTTAACAATTTATATTACCGATACTTTTTCATCGTTATACTCTTTTCACTATTCACTATTCATTTGCCTTTGCAATGAATTTTTGAAATTGCAAAGAGACACTTTATGGACACCCTAGATTACGAGATAAAGCTTCCGAAAGATCGGCCGATTTTGTGGATAGACTGGAATCCAACATCCACGGAGCCGTTGCTAGCCATCACAGACGTCGACGGCCACATATTTCTCAGCAATTTCGACGGCAGCAGCGTCAATCGCATCGTGCTGTCCACGCGTTGCGGCGTCTGCACGGACGTGGAACTGCCAATGGCCGCTTGGTTCCGTGATGGTATCGTCTTACGTACGACGTTCTGTCAAATTCGTTTCTTCTCGAGGAGCCAGAGAACGAGCTCGTGGCGAATGGATTGGTACGTGAAGTTGGAGACGAAACCGTACATTCTGGCCGTTCATCCGTCCGACGATCATCGATTCTTCTACTACACGCTCGAGGGGCATTTAATGCAGATCGGCTTCACCGAGAAGGACGAAACTCCTCGAGCTCATCGGTACATCGACTACGGCGCCACGTGTCGCTACGCGGACTTCGTTTATCCGTGGTGCCATCATCTCGTTGTTAGTTGCGACACGAGGAAAGAGTTGATCGTCGTCGAGTGTTACGAAGGGACACCGATAGCTTCCGTCGATCTGGAAACGGACGGTGAAATTGTTTGTCAAGTCTCGCACCCGGACTTCCCGTTGGTCGTTCTCGGAACGGAGAAAGGCGAAGTGATATTCGTCACGTTCACTGAACCGACCGAGCCTGGGATCGCAGCTCGTGTCAGGTTGCAAAGAACGCCTATTGATTTGATCAAGTTTTCAAATACTGGAAGGTAGTATATCCCTTTGAAAATCAATCTTTTTCTTTTCTTTTTTTTTTCTTTAATGGAAATATCTTCGATATTTAACTCTTGGAGGATTCACGACGTTTCGCAACAACGACAGAATTCATTCGCAATTAATTTATTATTTACTTGATTATTTACTTGTTATTTTTATCATTTAGTGAATTCAGCACTAAAACATCCAATTTTTTTAACCCCTTCGTTGTCCAATAATGTTGTTCAAAGAAATTTATGATTTTATACGGACGACAAAAGGATTTATGTTACGTAAAAAATTTATTAATTATTAATTTACGAAATTAATTTTCTATTTATTTATTATTGTTAAACTACATAACTAAATAAATTAAATAAATATTATGTATATACAATATTATAGTATAATATATAATATACTATAATATTAATATAATGTATATATATTATAAAAAAAATTACATTTATTGTCAATAATTCCCTAAATTATTATTTTTATAATATATCATTGTTATAATATTTTGTAATATTTTTAAGTTATTCTGTTTTAACACATTGACCGTCATAATGATCAGCTATGATCGAGATTTTTTTCTCGACGTTTCAAATAATTAAAATAAAGTGAATATCGTCAGCTAAAAATTTTTGAACATCATAGCTAACTATTACGAAACAATTAAAGATTTTAACATTATATATTATATATTTTATATATTTTAAAATTTTATATTATATATTATTGCGTACAGTGTTAAATTTCTTAAGCATAAACGAGGCAATCGCGACACTTTTTGATAACGTATTTTGCAAAATTTTCACTCGACTTTATACTGACTCTTCCTTCTTTCATATTTCCTTCTTTCGCATCCTTTTCGGGCAATTATATTCGATGAAACGAATGCTTCCACATTTTATGTCATAGCACTGTGCATACACATTATATTCTTATATACTTCTACAAATATTTAAAACAAACAGTTAAGTGCACCATGTACGAGGGCACATTTCTTATTATTTTGTCATTAAAAATTCCTTTACGACTCCCCGAGAACATTCTGTAAATCCAGCATAACAGTCGACGTTTTTTTTTTTTTTATTAACAGACGTTTATTTTGTGCCAGTATATACAGTATTTACATATTTACAAAGGCATAACGAATAAAAACTTATCGGTTTGAAGTGTTCTCAGATTAAAGGCTCCAGCCCTGGAGCAAGCGTAATCTTAAGATAAAAATTTGCTACGTTGCACTTGTTGCTACATAAACAGTAAACAATCGTTAATTTGCCTTAACTATGAGGGTTATCTTTTTTTTATTATTATTATTATACAATAATATTTTGGTTATATGTAAAGGGTGACAGTCGACGTGTTGACGTCAACCAACCAACTTCCTAGTCCTCAAAACTATCTCCCTATAGATTCTTGATCGCAGCCGAGAGGAAAACCGGTGACTGTTACTGCGTGAGTCTCGAACCCGGGAAGATGTACACCGCGCGAACGTTGATCAGAGTGCATCGCAGGATCATCGATCTTCTGGTCTACGAAGGTTACAGAAAGCTAAGAATCCTCGTCCTCTACGAGACGGTGAAACAGCACAACGTCGGACAGATCCTGCTCTTGTACGAAGCGTCACCGGAACAGAACTTGGTCACCGATTCCATGCACATGCTGAAACTTCCGGGCGTGTATCGTGCCCTGTATCAAGTGCCTGGGAACCCGATGCTGCTCGTGGGATCTCCTTACTCGACGCGTCAACTCCGGCTGCAGAAGGTAGTGGACTTCAGGCACGTGGTTCTGGAAGACGGTTTAGCGACGGGTCATCAGGTGAAGCTGGCTAATTTGTTCGTCGATCGATCGTGGATCAGTACCACCGCTCTCGATGGATTCGTCTTAATTAGAGATAGAACTGTACGAAGAGTGGCGGCGCACGTCATTGCGCACCACAGGTCCGACCTGGGCACGATTAAAGCGATGGCGAACAGACAGGGGGACTTGATCGTTTGCCTGGGCTACAATGGCTCGTTGATCGCCATCAAGTCTATCGTTTCGGAGAGAAAGGTATTTCTTTCGCTTTTTCAGTTTTTAACTGTAAGTGGCAGGCATATTATTTCGATCTTTTGTATTTATTTCCACAAAATGTCGTGTGTACATATATACTTGTGTAGTATGTACTTACTATGTGAAAAAATATAACAGAAGTTTTAAAAAATCATCGTACAAGAAGGAAGTGGATTTTCTATCTGTCAGTCCTTTTTTCTTTTGAGTTTGCTATCGATTATTTGAATTTAATGCAGGCGAATTAAATTTCAGTTTTGTCATTGTTTTTTTTTTTTTTTTTTGAATATAGTGTTTGTTGCCTTCTTAAGGGATTAAGTTACTACGAATGTGCAAGATCAATATATAATATAATATAATATTTATTATCTTAAAAGAAATGAAATTAAAAGCAGACTTGTAGTCTTATACAAATATTTATATAACATTTATTGTTTTATTTTCCTGTAAAATAATCCGTCTGAAATTGACTTGTTGCAGAATCATTTCCAAATTAAAATTAAAGTTTCTACATATTCGGAAAGAATTTAGAATCTTTACAAGAAAATATTTCAAATCTTTTTTGCTGCAGATATTTTTATAAAGAACTTTCGTTTCGTGAAAAAAATGAAATTTTTCATTCAAAAGCGTATAATTCCCTACAAAAAAATCAGTACCTTTTAAAAATTCTACTTCCCCGGTAAACGTTATACAAAAATTAAAAGTCTTTGAGTGTTTTCTTTATCTCAAAAAAATGCTGCTTTGAAACAATTCTAATCTAGCTATTCTGTAAAAAANAAAAAAAAAAAAAAAAAAAAAAAGAAAAGAAGAATATAATACAGAAAAAGTCCCTATTCCAAATTTTCCTTTAATTAATAATTCTTTTCTAGGAAAAAAATAAAATTCCGTACGCTCGAAGTGACCTGATCCCTTAAATAGATAACAAGTTCAATCTTGATCTCTCTTTACAATTATTCTTTCTTTCTCCAGCACAGGAGTTCCCGCAATCGAAAGCAACTTCCTCCGAGGAAGTACTCTACAAAGCTCAGCAGGGAGTTTACGAAAAGATGAGGAAAAAGATCCAATCGGACTACGCGAGTCTCGATCCTGCCGTTTACGAGCTGCTGACGCGTCGAAAGTACAAATTCCCCGATCCTCGACAGGGAGACAAAACCTGGTCAGATTGGAGGGAGGAGATACAGCTTCGGGAGGAGGAAGAAAAATCTAGAGAGGAAAGAACGACGATTCTAAGAGAGTTCGAGGCGTTGCAAGGCAAAGTGAGGAAGTTACTGGACGCGAACGAAGCCAGCCCTGAAATCGAGAAGCTGCCCGTCTCGTTTTTCGATCTGGATCTCGCGGGCCGTGATCAGAAGTTGAAAGCGGGCCGCGACATTTGCGAGGATCTTCACTTAGAACTCGAGCACAATATCGCCGAGATGCAAAGGGTGTCTAGATGGATTCGCGAGGCTTTCTGGAACCCACAGGCGATCGTGGGCAAATGTCTGTACGCCATCTTGGGCACCATGCTGGTCACCAATTATCCCGAGTTCGCCGAAGAACCGGACGAGAAACACCACTTGCAGTGGGCGAAATTTTGCAAGAAGACCGCGTACAGTAGCCTGGAGAACGGCGAGTTCGCACCTTGGAGAATTTTTACCGCGGAGGAGCTGCAAGTCGAGCTGAACAAGAAGCAGAGGTTGCCTCGCGAGCTCGAGAGAAGGTTGGATTTGTTGGTCGACGACGACGATCAGCAAGAACTGGAGCAAGAGAAGATGGCTATTGTCGAGGCAGATCTGGAAGAACGAAAAGCGATGGGAGGCAAGATACTTTGTTTCTTAATGAAGACAATGGTGTCGATTAGATCTGATGAAGTTTCACCTTTTCAAAAAAGTTGTCTAGTTATATAGTTGACCTCTTGCGTTGGAACGACGTTTGTCACGCACGTCGACAATTTTTCGTCCTAAAATTGCAATATTTTCTAGGTTTTGAATATATTTGAGTATAACCGAGGCAAAATAAATAATAAATTTATTACTTATGAACAATTTCTGTCCAGTGATATCATCCCGACGAGTTCAATACCTTGGAATAATTTTTAATTTTCTTAGTTTTAAATTATTAAAAATATATTTAAAACTAAATTAAATATATTTAAATATAACTTAGGCACCGATAAATAATTTTAAATTTGTTAATATATTATAGTATATTATAGTAATTATAGTATATTATAGTATATTATAGTATATTATAGTATATTATAGTAATTTCTAGTAATCNCAGTGATATCGTACCGACGAGTTCAAAAAGAAAGCGACGAATTATTGTGTACGGTTTGGTCACTCGTTATGGTCCGCAATCCAGTTGCCAGCGCGAGTGGCCAATGTAATATAAATATAGATATTTCAACGTGTTTTTCTTCTAATGAAAGATAAATTCATTTTCCATGGCCTTTCATCTCAGCGTAGAATGATCTAAATTTCACATACTGTACGTTGTACATCTTGTTTAAAAAAAATTTATTTCATCGCGCGTGTAGATTATTTTTATTTTTTTTTTTTTAAATTCTTATTCGAAGGTACCACCGCGCATCGATACATCGAGGAGTCACCTTACTACGCTCAAATTGGATACTACGGATTCGGCCAGACGATGATAAACAATCATTTGCTGCTACACGACTGCAAGAGGCTTCGTGCTTTCTTCAATCAAGCGTTCAACGAAGTGTATGCAACGAAGGAAAGGGAGATGAAGGTGATACGCGAAAGGATTGACAGGATACGTTATATCGACTCTGAATTGAGGACCATGTTTCATCGACACGTACCTCACATTCCTGTTGATCCCCAATGGCACTGGCAGGTTAATATTTAGTTCAATCGTACACTTTTTTTGTAAAGTAATTCAAGAAAAAGTTGACTCAAGACTTTTGCAACGGTCTTTGTATCTCACATTTTCAAAATTAGAGTGGTACCATTTTTATAAATACATTGTACAGTTAAGAGATTCTCGCAAAGATTTTCAAATTTTGCATCTTCAAAGTTAGAACCGGACAATGATCATGAATTATACAATTGAGAAATTTTATAAAAATATTTAAATTTTGTATTTTTCAAAGTTAGAGACACTGCGTTTATAAGTTATAAAAATTTTCATTCGTTATTATTAATTACATCACACATCGTTTAATGTCAATTCAGATTCTTGTTTAAGAACATTAATATTCGAATTCTTTCTTAATCAGTTGACACGATGGTGTGACAAGATATTTTTCTTTTTAAATAATTTCTTTAGATTTGGATGTTCTACGTTATCATTCCAAAGTTACGATTAATCACACATCACGATTAATCAAATATTAAATAACACAATTAACACATCTGCTTATTATATATTCTCAAAAACAAAATTCGCATCAAATCTTCGAGGTACACGTGAATCAAACATTCTTCAAATGATTCCACTTGTTCAATTTCCTTGATTTTATACCTCTCCTTATCTAAATTTCCAAACAAGATAAAGTACGAAAATTCAAATTCTCGAATCTGGAAACTTTCTTAAATGTTGGATCGTACTGTCCCAGAGGCGCCATCTTCATCCGCGAGTTCGCGCGACCCATTCAGTTTCCTCTTTCGCGTGTAGGAAAGACCGGAGAGCATTATCAAGGTGCTGGATCACGAGGTGAAGGCGAAACGGTACATTTCCCAGTCGCAGCAGGAACTGTTGGACAAGCAAGCGGCGGAGGAAGAACGAATCAGACAATTGTTGCTTGCTGACGACTTTCGCGAACGCGCCCTAATGGCGATGATGGACGGCGTGCTGGAGGTCCGATGGGAGGACACCATCAAGATAGACGTCCCTAAACCGGCTTGCATGCTCGAGAAGAAACCGGAAGACTATACATCCGAGGATATATCGGCGGTGAAACAGTACGAGAACGACGTGCAATTCCTTATGGAAGAACGGGAACGGTACAAGAGGATGCTGGAGGCGGAGTATGGGAGAGTCATGGAGCTTTTGAAAGAAGGGATTGACAAATTTAACGACAGACTAAACGACCTGTTTCACGTAAGTTTCTCCATTAGTTAAAGGAAAAGGGGGATAATTTTGTGCGAGAGAAAGGGAATGAATTGATTGAAGGAATTAGGATTGAAGGAAAATTGAAATTTCTCATTGAATTAAAATTTTAATTATATCGCAATAAAATATAATATTATTAATGTAATTAATTAATATAATAAATTTTATTATTATAATTATATTACAATAAAATATATATTGTATTAAAATAAATTTTAATACAATTTTAATACAATATATATAAAATATGTTGTATTAAATAAATTTTATTATTATAATTATATTACAATAAAATATATATTGTATTGAAATAAATATTATAATGTAATATAATGATGAAAGTATTCTGTCGATTAACAATTTTAACAGTAAAAAGACATTTGTATAGTACAAACTGTTTTTAATTCTTATTTCACAAAAAATGTTATTATGTATAATGTATATTTCTGACATTCTTGATAACAAAGCATACCGCCAGAATTGCAAATAACGCATATAGGCATTTATAATTTTGGAACATAATTCGTAAAATGAATGATCATAATGTTAGATCAAACTAAAGAATATTAATATAAATATTAAATAATATTAATATAAAAATAATTCGTGTGAACCTTACACGAAAATTTAGTTCTATTTGTTGCCAATAGAAATTTTTTTTATCGTAGATATTAATTTTTTTTTGCCACTCTATCAATTTGACATTAAAGGATGAATTAATTAAGGTGAAATAATTAAGGTGAAAAAAATGAGAGACAGATGGAGAGACTTACACCAAGCCCTATTAATCGCACAATGCGTAATAATTTGCAGCTGAAAATCAACGTCGAGGCAGCCATAAATCAATTGCATCTGCGGTACATTCGTGGTTGGATCTTGATCCGTCGTCGAATGCAGTCGTTGCAGGAGGAGGACAAACTGAAACAGCGAGTCCTAGAAAAAGAGAAATACCAGGAAGTTCTCAACAGCCATCTCGACGCTTTTCGCGAGCTTCGCGAAGAAATGGCCGCCAAACACAGATCGTTCGTCGCGAAAGAGAAAGCGGTAGCCAAGAAGTTCAGGTCTGAATTCGCGTCGCTGAACAAATTCCAAGTCGAACTGCTCGCGCAACAGTACAATCGTAGACCGAAGATAACCATGAGAAGTCTCGTGGCCTCTGATGTCTACGAGTTGGCAAGCCACGTGACCTCTCGCCTACCGTGCGTCTACCTGTCAACCGAGTGCAAGGATTACTTGAGGATCTTGAATCACTTGGACGTTCGACCAGCCGTTCTCCCGGCGACGATCGACGCGTCCCACTGGGACGACTTGATTCGTCTGCGACGCGTCAAGATCGATTTCGAGTTGAGAAGCAAGGCGCAGCAAATAGAGATCGCGGACGCGGACGCCGTGATCCTTGGATTCGAGCAGAGGATAGAAAAGTGTAAAACAGACGCGGAGGATATGAGAAGGAGTTTGATCGAACTGAGGGACTCGAGGAGGATCGAGGAGCTGGACGTGGAAATGCAATTGGTGTTGAAGATGGGGCAAGTGGAGATTCAGCTCGCGGGGGAGGTGAACGACGCGCAGAACGCGGTACTCGTTTCGAAAACAGCTGTCGAGAGCGTAAATGAGCTGATTAGGGCCGCTGGAGCGTGCAAGCTGAACGCTTTGTCTCGTTTATTGAGCTTTCAGAGAGGTAAGTCTTGTCGTCATTCGTTTTTCCTGCTTTTGATTTATAATTGTTTATCTAGTTTAAGTAGATGGCGGATTTTCATACAAGTTCGCTTTTTTTTTTTTTTTTATGAAAATGATTGAAGAAATCGAAATACAACAAAGTACCAAATCTCTTAGGAGTCCTTTATTTGAGATATTTTTATATCTACGTTTCTGCGTGTAATTTTAATTTGTCACCTTTGAATTTTCAATAATTGCTGAAATAATTTTTGAACATGTGAACTTGTACACATGGAGTTTAATAACAGTATCGGACTTTGATTCTATTTCAGTTGAAGGTAGAAAAAATTATAAAGGAAAATTTAGATTGCTTAGCAAGTTCTATTATTATGTAGTATTTATAGTTTTTTTTTTTTTTGTTATAGAATAAAACAGTATTAAGGCACGACGTCAAAGAAAAAATTAATATTTCTTGCACTTCTGTAACAATCACATGACACGATAATAGAGCTCCGTAAATAATGTGAAATTTTTCGCCATAATTTTTTTCATTTTCAATAGAAACAGATTAAGCAGAGTAGAACAAAGTATATTAATTTTCTTTCTGATGGGCAGGAAAAGCAGTATAATTCAGAATTTGCCATTCATAGCATATAAATTTAGAGTGGAACGTAAGACGAGATGTCAAATTTTGCACGTAACAGTTGGACATGTGACTTATTGTATACTTAATATAAAGGATGATCCAATAAAAATTCGCGCTTGAATATATCCGTTGTTTTCGAAAATACGAAAAATTATTCAATTGAATGGAACTGATTTATATTTAATTTGCGATTGACAGTCGTTAAAAAGATTGAAATCAAAATTATATTAGAAATCTATATTAAATTTATATTAAATATTATTAATTTTGTATTTAATATAATTTAAACTAATCATGTTAATAATATATTGAATTTATATTGGAAATCCTGAATACAGAATCGAGTTTCTTCAGTTTAATTTTCTTTTTCTTGTAAATCCTGCGTCTAATTCCCAACATATCTAAAAAAATGCATTTATGCTAAATTCCTCTAAACAAAGGAATACGAATCGATTTGATCAAAATTTGATACTTTCTTGCCAATTCACCATAGATATCGTGCTTCGTGTAATTGCACATTTCCCGCACGTGCACGACGCGTCAACTTTCCAGGTACTCTGCTGAAGCAATGGGAGCACGAGTGTCAGAAGAACAAACTGCAAGATCTGGAGGAGGACCTGCGGTCCACGGAATCGGTAACAGTAACGAAAGAAATGCAACGGTACCTGAAACGCAAGGCCAGAGGTCTTCCAGATGAGAAGACGCCGCAGCAACTGGAGGACGACGTCAATGCGGTGAAACGACAGTTCAGCAGGATCTTGGAGGACCACCAGGCACGGCTTCGATCGATCGAGAACGAGATCGCCGCCGTCAGAAGCAAGAACGAGCAGCTCGATCGGCAGATCTTGGAGATGAACATGGCGAGGTGCGAGATGGAGCAGAAGCGCGATCTTATCGGCGAGGCCAGGCAGCGGGAGCACATGGAGAGGAAACTGAGGATGGTGATGCACCGATCCGAACTGATCAAGAAGCTGCAGGATAATTACGCCGAGCTGATCGAGCTGCAAACTGAGCACGAACTGCTTAGACTCAGGCGATACCCGACCTTTCATTTCAGGATGCTCGACGATAGTGACGGGGAAAGAAAGAAGGATTAAATCCCGACGTGTCCTCTGTTCAATCGATTCGTTATTTGTATTTTCATTTTGGAGCGGATCATTTTGTTTTCTCAGCGGAGGAACACTTTTGGTGACGTTTCAGAAACCGCAGTCGTTGATCGACCTTTGATCGATTGACTGAAAAATAGAAAAAGACGACGAGATTGCAAATACTTTCGGATTTTTTATTGTCAATATGTTTTTATAATGAAGGTGTTCTTATATAGTCGCTGTTAGCTGAGTTTCTAAGAGACTCATTTATTGTTTATAAGTATTTTATAATATTGTTTATATATAATATTATAATATTGTTTACATATAATATTATAATATTGTTTACATATAATATTATAATATTGTTTACATATAATATTATAATATTGCTTACATATAGTATTATAATATTGTTTACATATAATATTATAATATTGTGTATATATAAACAATAGTTTTGGGAATTTTCAAGCCTTATGAAATTGGATTGGTAATATAGTTCTTCAGTCTTGTATATTTCATTTTATTTCTTAGAATATTCCTTAAGAATGTCTTTTTCTTCTCTTCTAATCGAGAAACCAGGCGAATGTAGATTGTAAATGAATGGTGATTCTTTCCCCGTTGATCACGACCACGAATGAATCGTTGAAGTTTCATACGGGAAACGAGATCGACGAAATTAGCAAAGAAATCGAAGAGCAAGTAATTTCGATAATTGCACAGTGCTTTTGAAGTGCGTGATTTAGAATTTTGAGAGGTTTGCGAGGTTGAATTTATTCAAATGGTCAAACGGATCGGTCGAATGAATGGGAATGGACAGGGAGAGCCAACAGTTTATTTAAACGGGCGCGTTTCTGTTTCGAATGGCATTTATTTAACGACTGCAATTAAATCCAGTATTATCTCCATTATAAAATGACAAATTATTTGCAATTAATTGAATTTCGTTCGCCTGCTAAAATTATACGAAATGAAATTTTGTTATAAGCGCGATTATATTGTACAAACATATATAATATAAAGTACATCATTAAATTTAATATAGAATGGCTACAAAAAATGGCTGGCACTCATTGAAAAGCAATAAATTTGATAGTCATTGGAAATAAATTTTCGCTAATAAGTTTAGTAGTCATTTAAAATAAAAGTTACTAAAGTATTCAGCCAAGTTAATCAGAAAATTATGACCTTTCAATGATCTGAAATTAAACAAATTTAGTTCGAAGATTTTAATTTAAAAACAGTTTGTGCAGCTTAGTTTCTATTGAGTTATTGATATGTTTTTTCTTGTTTTGTCTTGCAATGTTTTTAATGATTTATTTGCTAGCGAATAATATTATCTTACATTCTCTATAATTAATATTAGTTAATATTATCTTAAATTCTCTATAATTTTGTATTCGAAGAGTCGTTAAGTTTTAAAGATCACGAAATTGCAGAGTATTTGTAGAAAACATTGCAAGTGGTGAACATCAAATTTTTTCAGGAGGAAGAAAAATATTATTGTAATTTAAATCATTTTCCAGTGATGTCATATTTTAGTATTATTATTATAACTATTTATAGGAGAAAAATTCCAATTCACAATATTCTCATTAGCACGTAGAATATTTTTCGATAAATAACAATATTTTCCAATTTTTCCAACTTACAATGTCTTCTACAAATACTTTTCATTTATAACATTTGCATTTGTACTTAATATTAAATATAAATTATATAATATTGATATAATTTATAAATTATATAATTATATAAATAATATAAATTGTATAAATTTGTCTTCTACAAATACTCTTCATTTATGACATTTGTATTTGTATTTAATATTAAATATAAATTATATAAATTATATAAATTTGTCTTCTACAAATACTCTTCATTTGTGACATTTGTATTTGTATTTAATATTAAATATAAATTATACATATTATATAAATATGTCTTCTACAAATACTCTTCATTTATGACATTTGTATTTGCATTTAATATTAAATATAAATTATATATATATTATATAACATTAATATAATATAAATTATATAAATTATATAAATTTGTCTTCTACAAATACTCTTCATCTATGACATTTGTATTTGCATTTAATATTAAATATAAATTATATAAACTATATAACAACATAATATAAATTTAACATTAAATATAAAGTATATCACTTGGTCACGTCGAAGATTGGTAGATCTCTGTATAACTTTGTCCAAATGCACTCAAGAGTTAATCGAAGAAGAAGAGAAATATATCGGCTTGAACGGCAGTTACCCTTTCCGTGAAAGTCGACAAATCTCCAATTGCTCGGGCAGAAGATAACCATAAAGTTTACCGACGCTTGTGTCCACGGGATATACATTGTACCACGAAGACCACCTTCTAAACGCGGCTGAGTTACGGCCGGCCGAAAGGATTTAATCAGGCCCGCTTTGCTCCGGTCTCACAAAGGACAAGCGGCAATTTGCAGCGGCACATAAATCACCCGAGGGGGACCCGCGATGCATAATAGTCGCCACGATCTATACTCTTTTTCACCATAAATAACTGTACTAATAGTAGAGCTGCGGAGATGAATGATCCACCACCGCGTTGGATCGCCGCGAACCGCGAAGCGTACGAATCAATTTCCAGCTCCGACGTCTTTCCAGCTGGACCCGTTTTTTCGGTTTCTATCCCCCTATTACAACGCTATACAACGATCGGAAGAGGGGGGGGGGAGGGGAAAAAAAAAAAGAATCTTCAGACTCATCGTGCGACGATTAAAAGCACCGGATCGTTCTCTACGAGAAAGTGAGATTCTTGCTTGCTGTTCAGCGCGTCGATCGTTCACCTTTTTTTTACAAGTGTCGAGATCGAGGACACTTTTACAGGGGCGGCAACAACTTTTGTCGGTGTTTAAGAATAATGGGATGACGTTTCGTGTTTCGTGTCATTGAAAAATAACGCGAGGGTTAGAGCCATTTAACGTAACGCGTCGATTCGAGCATGTTGGTACTCACAGCAGAGGAAGAATTTAGAATTTAATCTGTTGATTGTGTAACTAAAAGAATTAAATTCGTCAAACACAAAGTGCATCTACTGTAAAAAAATTTGAAAATTATAACGATTTAGTTATAAGTCTTTCCGTTTTCTGAAAAATTAATGATTCGTTGCTCGATTTTATCGATATTGAGAATTTTACTTATTGAAAGAAACGAAGAACTATTAATAATATAGAAACATCCGTTTCTGTTTTTATTGAAAATGCTGAAAGATATTATTAGACTGCTACGCGATTACTGAGAAATTATAATTAAATATTTTAAATATTTCGTTTGGAAATAAATTTTTCCAAATTACAATTTTACACATTTACAGTATACAGTTTCTCTCAGGTGCATTTATTTTTGTTGTTTCGTCGTGATTTCGTGATATTTTAAAAGGTCTTGAATGTACGAATATTAAAATTACAAATATTAATATTAAAGCATAAATATTTAGGTCTCCATTAAAATTTCAATTCAAATAGCAGAAGGTAACGTTTTTCTTTGCACGAGTACACTTATCAATATTTTAATAGAAAGATTAATTTGAAGGTTGCAATAAATTTGTGGTAATCAACGAAAATCTTGTAAAGTTCTTTAAATAGTGAATCAAAAATACACTGATATCAAAAGAGGAAACTTTTTCCTTCATTCTCTTTTCATGACAATATTATATTTTATTTATATCAGCGAAGAAAACGGCCATAAAATAGACAGACAGGGCAAGTTCACGATCTCCAACTGTAAATATTTTTGCTCTAACGATCGTATGATTTTTATTAATGAACATGCTCGAACCTAGGGTAGCTTCGTCCCCCAAACTATTATGTTGGTTGAAAGGTTATTCATCGGTGTCCTTCTTCTTTCTTTTTTTTTTTTTTTTCTTGCCGCGGTAGCTGTGATGGGCCACGGAATCCAGGATATCAATGACCAGGGATCGATTAATCATCGTTCTACCACTGACATCGACATAATACTGTCATCGTTGTGTAAAAACATCAAGGGAATGCCACTTGTGACAAGTTCCTGTTGCTTGCCGCGTTCGATTGGTAGTTGCTACGAAGATTAAAGAGATTCGAAACGAAATTCCAAATTAAAATTTGAAGTCCGCACAATGCCGTTTAACTTGAAAACTACATTATACTGTCCAACGTGCCAATGGTACTGCATACAATACGAAAGAAATATCATTTTCCATTCGAAAAACTCTTTAAATTCTTGTTTGCTGCTTGACAGAAAGTCAATCAGTGAAACATCATGAAATGAAATATTTTTAAAAATGTCGAAAAAACCTAAGGCCATCGTGTTGAGAATTTTTTGAAATGACATCATCCGTGAATGATATCATCTTGCAAGGACAATGTACGACATTGTAGATTCGTGAACAGCTCGAAATAAAATCTATATTTTATTAATATTTTTATAATTCTATATTTTAAATCTATATAAATCTATATTTATATAATATTTTTATAATTCTAGAATTCTTTTCTATACTTCTTGAAAGAAAATGATTGCAGCATTGTTCAATTAAAAAGATGGAAATTAAACTAAAAAAGCTATTTTGAATTGTTCGAAAGAGCCTTGTTCAATATTTGTGATTCGTTTATGATTTCTATCTCCTATATTGTTATAATTCACTATCCTAATCAGTAGATAGAACATATATATATATATGATTTAATATCGATATATAATTTAATATCGATATTATATATAATATAATATCGATTATATATCTTTTTGAGCCACGATATCTTTAATAAGTAACAAAAATATATCTTGTACTTAACTAAAGTATTTACAGCGAATCATAGATTACTTTTCATTTCACTTTCTATTAAACTATATATATAGTAATCCATATATAAAGTAATCCAGTTAAGTACAAGATATTATTTTATACTTATTAAAAATATCGCGGCTGAAAAAGATGATAGATTTCCTTTTTCTTTCAATTACATTACAAACTAT